CATTGGCCTGAAGCAATATAGCCCTGTATATCCAGCCAGTATTAACGAAATGAGCGGTGGTGTGCATTTCATTAACAGATCGCAGGTGTTGATTTAAACACTGATATGCTGTATATATCCCAACCAGTACAAACGAAATGAGCAACCGTGGTGTGAGTTTCATTGGTAGAGGCGGTGAATTAACAATGCTGTTTCTCCCTAGTGAGTAAATAAGCTTATATCCACTCCCCAGTCATTGAGGGCAAGGTGCTGGCTTACACAGCTGACTGCATTAGCAAGAACTGTATAGAAACCAGCAGACTCCATTACTCTATTGTAATGACATTCCTACGAAGCATGTACATTTCACTATGCTGCTCGGACTAATCCAATCTATTTCAATGAGTTCATATCGACGTCTTTTTTTAGTTCATGCTATAAATTTGTCGAGTGTGATACTGGATATTACCCAATGCTAATTCACTGTGATATCGGCATGGCTGGACTGTCAGTGTTGAAATGGATTACGTTTGACATGGAAGGAACAACAGTATGGGAGTGTGACATTTGAAATTGACAGGTACACAATGCTACAAATGGTGTTAAAGGTAAGATGTACACAGAAGCATGACTGTTTATGTGGCGGTATTGTACTGTCTGACACCAGCCGTTGTATAGAACACGGTCAGGGAGGGCTGTATGCAACTCAGTGTGATTGACGAAGATCACTACTTGTGGTGTTTCTATATATAATATTAGGGCTGTTTAACACCTTTAATTATATTGAGAAACTTAAATCTTTATTTTGATAGATGTTGCAATATGTTGCCATTAATATTTTTATGAGTTTAATGTGGTTGGAAAATGTAAACAAATGAAGAATTGTTGACAACAGGCATTGTTTGAGAACAGTAACTGTGTTGGTGAAAGTTATGTTGGATGGTGCTAGTGTACGTGTTGTGAGGTTGCTTGGTCCAGGGCCTAGATTTTGAAAAAATAAGGAGTTCATACTCCTGATGTTGAAAAATTATCTGGAGCCCTGGTAATATTAGTGACCTACCAAGATTTTATGACACACTGACATTGAAGAAGGATAGAACATAGCTGCAAATAGAACATATGTTGCATAATGGCACTAAATATTTATGATTGATTTGCTTTGTCTGTTGTTTGAACGCTGCAGTCAGCAATATTCCAGCTTTATGGTGGAAGTCGGTAATTACTTGAACGAGACAATCCACTTATTATCATCAATGGGCATCGATCTGCACAACTGGGATTCAATAACATGTGTTAACCAAGTTAGGGTGCTGACCTTCCCATTAGTGAAGATAAATTATATTCCTGATCTTAATGGGTCTTGTAATTGATTAACTGTTACATTTATAACACGGACACAAGGATCTTTGGACCTGTCCAGAGTAAATATAGACGTTCATTCAGACTCGGTCATTCAGTCATTCAGTGAAGGTGACCCAACACATTGTTAGTTATGCTTGTTGTTATTTTGAAGGGAAATACCTTGGTCCATAATCTGTTAGTCACTGGGACACTGTATAATGAATTTTGTGGTTTAAACATTGGAATTAGTGTCAATTATAATTTTGATTCAAGACAAACAAGATCTGACATGACTTAGCTTACAGTATATGGGGATTTCCTTGTTAGAATCCAAACTTACTAGTGAGCGAGCACTTGGCATTGACTAATACTGGGTGTCCTGGCCTATACAGAAATATCTCATTATTCATATGTATTCATTAAAGTTGGTTTCAATCATTCCAACTTGCATTCCCTTTCCTATCCAGTGGGTCATGGTAGATAATTCTGCATCCATTATTGATGTGTATGGATGTTTCATTTATAAAACCCCAAATTATAACAATGTATGTGTGGAAAGTACTGGTATATGCAACTAGATTATGAAAATTCTTCTTGTAATTCAATGACCATGGCATACTAGTCAGAAAGCTGTCTTTGTTAAGGCCACTGGCTTGTTTCAGATTAATATTATGCTGACTAAACATTTCTGTGTAACGGTAAATAGTGTGAAGTATCACATTATCACTATCAATAGGGGATGTTGTTTTTTATTTATTACTGGATTGAGCAATATTCACTCTAGGAAGGTGACCCGACAAGACAAATTCATGGCTGATCTGTATATGAGTAATGTTCCAGGCCAGGGAGGTACGATTACACACAATCAAGTCTCTTTAGTCTGACCATTTGATTGCCTTGGTCACCTTAATAAGTATGGCAAGCATTATGAGGACATAGGGACCTAAATTCAAACCCTGAATCCTGTGTACTTTTCAGACATAATAATATTTTGAGTTTACAGCTCTGGTTGTAGTGGTGTATCAAAATTTAGGTTTTATCTCACTGGACAATTATCAGTTAACCGTCTTTGAGTGGCGTTATAGAAGCTGAGAAGTAAAATACTGACAGATTTTAACAATAACAGCTTCTTTTATTTCATGAGTTTTATGTTTCAATACATGTTCTTGTATTGTTGTCAAGCAGAAATGATGTTGTACAAGAACCTATATCGAAACATCACACTCATGATAAAAGAACAAGAATTTATTTTCCATAAAATTTGTAAGTATTGAATTATTAGTTTGTTTATTCTAATGAAACTCCAGAACTGTTCTTGTCACGCCCAAGGTAGATAAATATTTTATTGTTCTGCTTCTGTGGTTGTAACCTCAGTGACTTCACTGATCACCACAATGGGAAACAGAGAAACTTGTCCAAATGTCTTTTGATAAATGTTTAAAACCGTGAGCTTTGCTTAATCAATGAGAGTTGACATATATCCTATCAAAAGACACAAGGATAAGCTTCTGTGTATCATCCAAAATAAGCGTTTCAGTTAGTAGTCAGTAATATACACTGTCTGAGTGTGTGTGTAAAAGTTACAGCTAACCTGATTAGCTTCAATGCCAGACAGATTAGTGAAGAGTGTGACATCATGGTACATGATGACATCACAATGATCTGCAATGCTTTGTGAGGTAGTTTCATTGTAGTGATATATCATAGTATCCTATAACGGTGATCTCACCAAAACAATATGAAACCAATGTTAACAATATTTATGTCTACCTGTTGCGCTATTGCTTGAACATTGCTCCTAGCCACTTAAAACTCTGCTCCAGTATAACATATTTTTAGATAGATTATATTTGGATCTTATTAGGTAGATGTTAAGAGTCTTATCAATGCAGTTAGGTAGAGGACTTACTGGAGGTGATAAGGGTTTCAACACCTGCCTTCTACAGCCATAGACTAACACTTGACAGATTACGACAATACCGCCCGGCTTAGAGTCACAACAATCTGACGGCTCCTTTGCCCGGGAAATTAATACTCCAAATGTCTATACAACACCATCACAGTGGCCGCGCCATTAAGTCATGTCATGTACGTTAATTCAATCTTATAGCACTATATAAAGGTTATGGGTTAATTAAGCTTGTCCTCCACATGGGTACAATGTGTGAAGTCCATTTCTGGTGTCCCCCGCTGTGATATTGCTGGAATGTTGCTAAAAGCGGTGTAAAATTAAACTCACTCACTCACTCACTAGATAGGTTCATCATTAGACGGCACATGGATTGACATAATTCACCTGACTGAACTCCTTTGTTGTTGTAATGATAATTATGATAATAATAACAATCTAATAGCCACTATGTACATGGTGAAAACCATGCTCAAAGCACATTATTCCTGTGTCACTGGATCGGAGTGCATTAGAATTCTATTCTCAGTAGCTTAGTGGTTAAAGTGTCCGCTCGTCATGCCGAAGACCCTTGAAAGGTTTTGATTCCCCACATGGGTACAATGTGTTAAGCCCATTTCTGGTGTGCCCGCCATGATATTACTGGAATATTGTTAAAAACAACATAAACTCTACTCACTCACTCACTCACTATTCTCACCTCCCTGGGGAGTATACATCCAAAGCTGCCTGTGAGGTGGCAGGTAGAAGGTTTACAGCGACATTGCAGTCTCTTCCTTCTGGGTACCCATTCACTGCTGGGTGAAGAGAGTGGCATATTCAATATACAAACTTACATAAGATAACTCAGTTATGTTGACAGTGAATAAAAGCAACAAAAACACTGAATCTGTATACTTTTAGTGATTTCTTATGAAAGCTTTACATGTAGAGTAGGTCTATCATTATCAGTAGTTATTAGCAACCATCTGCATTTCGGTAAATGGAAAGTCTGTCTGTGGTTGTGTGCATCTGTGTTGTGTGCCTGTGTTTTCATGTGTGTATTCCCGATAGAATGATGTAAATACATGAGTCTGGTCCAGACAATCCAGTGATTGATACAGTGAGCTATCATGTGAGATCATGTTGAAGGATTTGGTGGGACTAGGTTCCCCACAGGTGGTTTTCAGAAAGTATAGTAAGGATTTAAAATGCCCTTTTATTAATGTATTCATTTAATAAAAATACTTTGTTACATTTAATTTAATCATCTGATACCATTAATAAATATACATTGTAACAGCTAATTAAATTGGAAGTCTATGATCACATGAACACTCTTAATGCACACAGGGATTTACTAAACAAATTAAAAAGATTCGGACATAATCAACCTCAGTGAAAATGAAACGGACACACTTTCCAAGTTACGACTAACTATTCCAGCCTAAATATGGATCTCAAGTATTTTTAACTGAATTCCAAATATCATATGAAAATACCTTATTAGGTGCACCATGGTTAATTCATTTGTACTCTGAATGATAAAAATGTTGCCACTGAAACAATTTTTAATCATCTCCAATCAGAACATAATATGCATGATAACTTACTAATGTTGCTTGAATGTTGTGAATTAATGATGCATTAGGTCAATGCCTGTAAATATTGCAAAAGCAGTTATCGTTAAGGAGCTACATTAATTTCTTTACTCATCTTTCCAGCTGCCATATATCAAGGTGTAAACTAAGGAAGGAGCAGGTTTTTTACATATATGTTATATTTTTTGCAGAGGCGTCGGTCCAGTGTAGGTCGAACCATGGAGGTGGATAGTGACCTGCAGTGTCCAATTTGTCTCGAGCTGTTCAACTATCCCATAATCCTCCCCTGTTCTCACATCCTGTGCCGATCCCCGTGTGCGGAGAATCTGTTTGACTTTGACTTCATCCGCTGCCCTGTGTGCCGTGACAACTGTTACATCAGCGGAGGCATCTCGAGTCTGCCAAGAGTTATCACCCTTGAGAACATCATCGACAAGTACAAGGCAGAGCGACGCAAGGATCAGGAAGAACAAGAAGCCCTCGCCGTCAGCTCAGAAACATCATCGGATGGAATTTTGTGCCAGTTGTGTGAGAATTCCCCCAGACTTGCAAAGAAGTCGTGTCTTGATTGCAATGCATCTTATTGCTCAAACTGTCTCCGTTTGTCACATCCAAACAGAGAACCATTCACAGATCATGAACTGATTGAACCCCGGAAGGAGCTCCGGGCATCATTAGCGCTATGCTCTGAACATGGAGAAGCTCTGAGTCTGTTCTGTCATCAATGTCGGCGGCCATTTTGTCTGGCATGTGATGAAGCTGAGCTTCATGTTGACCACCCTACTGTCTCCATTGAAGAGGGATACGCAAAACTGAAAGTAAGTACATTAATGTTGATTTACCCAGTCACAAGTCTCCCACCAGACCTAGAAAACCTGGAAATTTAACACCCCATTTTCCATCCTTGGAAAAACCTTGGAATTTGACAAAAATGGATGAAATCATGGAATAATCTTGTTGTTTTTTTATCTAACGAAACTGTATATCTTGAAAGTACTGCAAGGGCTATGGCAGCCATGAACATGTGTATCTGGATTAATTTGCATGTATGTAAGTACTTGCTTACATGATGTAACACAAATTCCTGAAAAGGCATTAAAGTATTATTCTATTCTATTCTATTAAATACCGGTACATGTGGTAATAAAACTCTAAACATTATAAGATGTATTCAATGTTTGATGGTTGAAAGGGTTTTGGGTTTTGGAGGTTTTTTTTGGGTTTTACGCCGCTTTTAGCAATATTCCACCAACATCACGGCGGGGGACACCAGAAATGGGCTTCACACATTATACCCATGTGGGGATTCGAACCCGTGTCTTCGGCGTGACGAGCTAACGCTTTAACCATTAGGCTACCCCACTGCCCCCAGAGCTGGAAGAACTGCACTTTTTGCATTGCAGATTTTCTCAAATGCATATACATGCATGCAGACCTGTAATGTTTTTAGTTAATTACAGAAGTTTGTTGCAGGCTCTTATATCATGGTTGTTTGTATTATACATATAGCCAAGAAATGTAGTACTGTAACTGGACTATATCAACAGAAGGAAAGTGATTGTTATTATGCAGTGTGTCTGCAGTTTATACTTTAAGATATTAAACCATTATCAATTTTAATAACATGTTTTATATTGGTTTTATGTCAATAAAGATAGTTAAAGCGTAAAAGAAAAATTGCTACACTTGATGTTTCATTTTTATTATATCATCTTATCATACAGAGGTGTGAATGGACAGCTGTAAGTGGAGATGAGAGGCCGTATTTAAGATATTGTTTTATTTCAGACACAGCAGTATATGTTTAAAGGTATATCCTAGGGCATATATTGTTGTGTCTGGGAAAAACAAATGTTGTCTGACAAAATCATGGAATTTTTTATCACAAAAATGTGGGAACCCTGAGTCAGTTTTGAAGGTATTATTTGTTTTGAGTAGGAGTTTTACACAGCATATGTTCCTGTATTTCACCAAAAGTCCCCAATCCCCCAGAATGAAAGTGGATTTAAATGCAAACGATTTAGATGTTGACTTGGTAATAAGTGACAAATACACACTCAGTGTGGAGTAGGAGAGATTGAACCATCATTCCATGGATATGACATTAGATGTTCTTGCATCTCAGCTTAACCTGAAGGAGAGTCTGGAGCGACTGACCGACAGCCAGTGCAAGATGATGACCACTCTCAAACTGCAGCAGGATCACCTCAAGGACATGCAGGTATGTTATGTATAGGATCACCTCAAGGACATGCAGGTATGTTATGTATAGGATCACCTCAAGGACATGCAGGTATGTTATGTATAGGATCACCTCAAGGACATGCAGGTATGTTATGTATAGGATCACCTCAAGGACATGCAGGTATGTTATATATAGGATCACCTCAAGGACATGCAGGTATGTTATATATAGGATCACCTCAAGGACATGCAGGTATGTTATATATAGGATCACCTCAAGGACATGCAGGTATGTTATATATAGGATCACCTCAAGGACATGCAGGTATGTTATATATAGGATCACCTCAAGGACATGCAGGTATGTTATATATAGGATGACCTCAAGGACATGCAGGTATGTAATATATAGGATCACCTCAAGGACATGCAGGTATGTTATAGATAGGATCACCTCAAGGACATGCAGGTATGTTATGTATAGGATCACCTCAAGGACATGCAGGTATGCTATATATAGGATCACCTCAAGGACATGCAGGTTTGTTATATATAGGATCACCTTAAGGCTATGCAGGTATGTTATGTATAGGATCACCTCAAGGACATGCAGGTATGTCATGTATAGGATCACCTCAAGGACATGTAGGTATGTTATATATAGGATCACCTCAAGGACATGCAGATATGTTATATATAGGATCACCTCAAGGACATGCAGGTATGTTATGTATAGGATCACCTCAAGGACATGCAGGTTTGCTATATATAGGATCACCTCAAGGACATGCAGGTATGCTATATATAGGATCACCTCAAGGACATGCAGGTATGTTATATATAGGATCACCTTAAGGCTATGCAGGTATGTTATGTATAGGATCACCTCAAGGACATGCAGGTATGTCATGTATAGGATCACCTCAAGGACATGTAGGTATGTTATATATAGGATCACCTCAAGGACATGCAGATATGTTATATATAGGATCACCTCAAGGACATGCAGGTATGTTATGTATAGGATCACCTCAAGGACATGCAGGTTTGCTATATATAGGATCACCTCAAGGACATGCAGGTTTGTTATATATAGGATCACCTCAAGGACATGCAGGTATGTTATATATAGGATCACCTCAAGGACATGCAGGTATGTTATGTATAGGATCACCTCAAGGACATGCAGGTATGTCATGTATAGGATCACCTCAAGGACATGTAGGTATGTTATATAAAGGATCACCTCAAGGACATGCAGGTATGTCATGTATAGGATCACCTCAAGGACATGCAGGTATGTTATATATAGGATCATCTCAAGGACATGCAGGTATGTTATGTATAGGATCACCTCAAGGACATGCAGGTATGTTATGTATAGGATCACCTCAAGGACATGCAGGTATGTTATATATAGGATCACCTCAAGGACATGTAGGTATGTTATATATAGGATCACCTCAAGGACATGCAGGTATGTTTTATATAGGATCACCTCAAGGACATGCAGGTATGTTATATATAGGATCACCTCAAGGACATGCATGTATGTTATGTATAGGATCACCTCAAGGACATGCAGGTATGTTATATATAAGATCACCTGAAGGACATGCAGGTATGTTGTATATAGGATCACCTCAAGGATATGCAGGTATGTTATATATAGGATCACCTCAAGGACATGCAGGTATGTTATATATAGGATCACCTCAAGGACATGCAGGTATGTTATGTATAGGATCACCTCAAGGACATGCAGGTATGTTATGTATAGGATCACCCCGAGGACATGCAGGTATGTTATATATAGGATCACCTCAAGGACATGCAGGTATTTTATATATAGGATCACCTCAAGGACATGCAGGTATGTTATGTATAGGATCATCTCAAGGACATGCAGATATGTTATATATAGGATCACCTCAAGGACATGCAGGTATGTCATGTATAGGATTACCTCAAGGACATGCAGGTATGTTATGTATAGGATCACCTCAAGGACATGCAGGTATGTCATGTATAGGATCACCTCAAGGACATGCAGGTATGTCATGTATAGGATCACCTCAAGGACATGCAGGTATGTCATGTATAGGATTACCTCAAGGACATGCAGGTATGTTACATATAGGATCACCTCAAGGACATGCAGGTATGTTATATATAGGATCACCTCAAGGACATGCAGGTATGTTATATATAGGATCACCTCAAGGACATGCAGGTATGCTATATATTGGATCATCTCAAGGACATGCAGGCATGTTATATATAGGATCACCTCAAGGACATGCAGGTATGTTATATATAGGATCACCTCAAGGACATGCAGGTATGTTATGTATAGGATCACCTCAAGGACATGCAGGTATGTTATATATAAGATCACCTGAAGGACATGCAGGTATGTTGTATATAGGATCACCTCAAGGACATGCAGGTATGTTATATATAGGATCACCTCAAGGACATGCAGGTATGTTATATATAGGATCACCTCAAGGACATGCAGGTATGTTATGTATAGGATCACCTCAAGGACATGCAGGTATGTTATGTATAGGATCACCCCGAGGACATGCAGGTATGTTATATATAGGATCACCTCAAGGACATGCAGGTATTTTATATATAGGATCATCTCAAGGACATGCAGGTATGTTATGTATAGGATCATCTCAAGGACATGCAGATATGTTATATATAGGATCACCTCAAGGACATGCAGGTATGTCATGTATAGGATCACCTCAAGGACATGCAGGTATGTCATGTATAGGATTACCTCAAGGACATGCAGGTATGTTATATATAGGATCACCTCAAGGACATGCAGGTATGTTATATATAGGATCACCTCAAGGACATGCAGGTATGTTATATATAGGATCACCTCAAGGACATGCAGGTATGCTATATATTGGATCATCTCAAGGACATGCAGGTATGCTATATAGTGGATCACCTCAAGGACATGCAGGTATGCTATATATAGGATCACCTCAAGGACATGCAGGTATGTTATATATAGGATCACCTCAAGGACACGCAGGTATGTTATATATAGGATCACCTCAAGGACATGCAGGTATGTCATGTATAGGATCACCTCAAAGACATGCAGGTATGTCATGTATAGGATTACCTCAAGGACATGCAGGTATGTTATGTATAGGATCACCTCAAGGACATGCAGGTATGCTATATGTAGGATCACCTCAAGGACATGCAGGTATGTTATATATAGGATCACCTCAAGGACATGCAGGTATGTTATATATAGGATCACCTCAAGGACATGCAGGTATGTTATATATAGGATCACCTCAAGGACATGCAGGTATGTTATATATATGATCACCTCAAGGATGTGCAGGTATGCTATATATAGGATCACCTCAAGGACATGCAGGGATGTTATATAGGATCATCTCAAGGACATGCAGGTATGTTATATATAGGATCACCTCAAGGACATGCAGGTATGTTATATATAGGATCACCTCAAGGACATGCAGGTATGTTATATATATAGGATCACCTCAAGGACATGCAGGTATGTTATATATAGGATCACCTCAAGGACATGCAGGTATGTTATATAGGATCACCTCAAGAACTTGCACGTACATTATGTGTAATTCCAGGTGTAAGCACATAAGGACATGCAGGCATGTTATATATAGGATCACCTGATGGACAAGGTGGTATGTTATATATACAACCACTTCAAGGACATGAAGGTGTATTACATTTACTTACAAGGGTGTGAGGATGTTTTACACACGACATACCTTTCGAAAACAGGATATGTATATGTTAGCACCCTCCTCACGGGTGATATGGATTTCAACGCTCGAGCCGTCAGGCGAGAGCGTTGAATCCATATCACCCGCAGAGGGTGCACGTGCGTTTCCTGCACCGCTAAGGTTGTTATCCACATATCAACCTCTGCACGTGCAGATAGAAGGTTGATACACAGAAAATCAACCTGCCAGAACAATGGACATAACATACCCTAGTGGTATAAGGATATGATAACCATTGATATTTCAAAGTTGATTAGATATATATTTGCATTGTGACATATTTGTAGGTATTCATTTACATTTTTCTATTGACAAGTTTAAAATGATGATCACTTAGTTTAATTTGTTATAGTTGAAATGTCCTAATGAAATTAAATGTGTCCAGAAACAAATTGCCTGGAATTTTGTGAAAAGAGTCTAAACAGTGAAACCTCATCTACTTATGGATTTATTAAGAAACGTTTTGCCTCCAGCTGCTGGTGGACAGGAAGCGGGATGATATCAACATGCAGTGTGACTCTCTGCTGGCGGAGGTAGAAAACAAGCGTAGCTTCTTCCTGGCCGACCTTGAGAACGAGGAGCGGGTCAGACAGAACACTGTGGAGGAAGTCATTAAACTGTTTGAGAAGATCCTGGGATCCTCCCAAAGTCTTCAGACCTACACCGAGGACATACTGAAGCGGGACCCTGCTTCCTTCCTGGAGGTGAGACAAAGGGAGAACAGCCCTCGGTACTCTACACATGTCTACACATCCCCAACTTTATGTTCCTCCAACAGAAATGTACCATTGTGGGGGGCGTGGTGGGCGAGCTGGCTAAGGCGCCAGGCTAGTAATCTAGCGAGCATGGGGTGCCGGGATCGAGCCCACCTGTGACCAGGTGTAAAAACCTCGGAGTCAACTTTGTGTGCAGACTCTTTCAGTGTTGTCACAACCCATAGTGTACAGTACACAAGTCTGTGCACTTAAAAGAACCCACGAATCCGTTGGTATATGACCAGATGGTGGCCACATGAATACGTGCAAACACCTAGTTGCGGGTACAGCAACGAGCAGTAAAACTTGGACAAAGTACTGTGACTATGTGTCCCAGTCCATCCAGCTGTGAATGGGTACCTGTAAGGATGGGAAAGCCAGTTAAGCCACATTAAGTCAGTGCGCCTAGTGGCAGCAAGAGTTGTATGCTCCCCCAGGGAGTTGAGATTGATAATACAAAGTGCCGTTGAGACTGACATCCTACGATCGAGGGAAAAACAAAGCGCGCCTGTGAGCAGCCTAGCTTGAACTCGGCACTATATAAATCGATTATAATAATGATGATCTTTCATAATGTACCTAAAGCAGCATATTTGATTTAGTTGGTGGCTGCTGGTTTGTAGGCCCCAAATGTGGTCATTTTTATATCTTATGTTTTCCGGGGCCGTGGGGTAGCCAAGTGGTTAAAGTGTTGGCTCGAAGACCCGGGTACGAATCCCCACATGGGTACAATGTGTAAAGCCCATTTCTGGTGTCCCCCGCCGTGATGTTGCTGGAATATTGCTAAAAGCGGCGTAAAACCAAACTCAGTCAGTCAGTGTTATGTTTTCCAAGGTCAATCAGTCTGTACATGTTGATATGAAATAAGTGAATGTGACATGGGTTGAAACATCACATTTAAGATTATGGTACATATACCGTGATGTGCATGTACTTGTATGACGTGAGTGTGTGGGTTCTTGTACCAGTTTAGAGCCATGCAGGTTTTATAGTGCTCACTACTGACCTGTCCTTGTTTTCACACCTTAAAGTCAAGTGGGGCGATTGGGTAGCCTAGTGGTTAAAGCGTTTGCTCGTCATGCTGAAGACATATGGGTTCGATTCCCTTCATGGGTAAATTGTGTGAACCCTTCTGGTGTCCTACGCTGTGATATTGCTGCAATATTGCTAAAAGTGGCATGAAACTATATTCACTCACTCACTCACTTAAAGTCAAGATCCAGGCAGGGCAACAAGATGTACCATCTCTTCATGTATTTTGGTATTTGAAACCACCACTATAGTATGTCAAAGTTTATGTACTGCGCATGTGCACAAGATTCAAAATTTGAGGTGCCTCCATATCTGATATTATTTCAGACATGTTCTTTTATACGTTGACCAAATTTGGTGCTTTTATCATCAAATGCACAATTCTTATGAAAACTTGATCTTAGCCACTCCACTACACTGTCTGCTCTCTGCCAGACCTATTGTACCAGGATATTTGGTAACACAGATTAAAATCAAACCCCTCAGTGACACTGGTTTCCCTCCACACTGCTCGGGGTGGTGGGGTAGCCTAGTGGTTAAAGCATTGGCTCGTCACGCCGAAGACCCGGGTTCGAATCCCCACATGGGTACAATGTGTGAAGCCCATTTCTGGTGTTCCCCGCCGTGATGTTGCTGGAATATTGCTAAAAGCGGCGTAAAACCAAACTCAGTCAGTCAGTCCACACTGCTCAGCGTAAAGATCAAGTATCTGTATTCTTTTATTCTTAATGCATGGAATCTATGAGTATGTACATGCTGAACCAGCCTTCCAACATGACAAATGTGATAATTCCCAAGCTGATATACATGGGTATATTTTATTTTTTAATTAACAAAAAAATGTTATAAAGCTCAAAATGTGATCCTCAAATCATAGTTTCATAACAGCATCATCATACAGAAATAAGAGATTTTATGAATGCATAATACCATAACTAGGTGAGTTGAGGGTGAAGAGTTATTTCCCCTGATGTGTCAGCATGTGGTTGTGTTACAGAATGTTCCTGTAGTGTAATCGTTCCTTGTACTATATTCCTCTTGTAGAATTATTCCCGTGGAGCAGTTTTAAGCAGGAAAGTCTTTCCATGATGCAATTATGTTGACATTATTGGATATTTGTTTCAAGTAATTCCACAACAAACTGATCGTCACCTGCTCCTACTAATCAAACACCTGGCTTACGTGTAAATTTATACATTATTTTTCAGGTTGCTTCAGCACTGAATGAAAGGTATGATAACATTCTTATAAAGTTCCTATTCTGTAAAGACCTATATCAGTTATGATCCAAGGAGTATATGTGATCCTGTATGTCTGTTTTGAGGACATCAGGTAACTCTGTACACCTGAACGTGATCACTCTCACCTGGTACACTGTTGTATTATCATCCATTAAGGTTCTGGCAAAGCAGTAAATATGCCGCTAGTAATTAAACATGATTTGTTGTTGATGATATACATTGGTGGTATTTCTCTCATGTACAGTGGTCATGTTTCCAAGGGGTGAAATGGTACACTCTTACCATGGTACAGTACGTATTACGGTACAAGTCCTTTGGTTCGGTCCGTTTCAGTTTGGTATGTGAGATATGATCATAATGCAGAAAATTGACAACAAGAGCCAAACCTTACATTTTAATAACATGGAAAAACAATAACCATAATCTTTGTTATTTTGAATGAACAAAACTGTCATTTTGACCAGATAGAAATGACGGTACAAAAACCGAAAATACTGAATTTTTAGATTGCATTACAGGTATACCGAACTGAAGGCAAAATACTGCGGTTCTGTTTCACCTTTATGTCTTCGTGGACATAAGATTGTTTCCCAGCAGCACAGTGGTGTTTCATGACTTACAGTGTTGGTGTTTCTCCCTGACATAATGCTGTTTCGCTGACTAATGGGGGGCATGTTTCCTTAACTCATTGTTTCCCTGACGATCATTTGTTCTCCTGCGATAGGGTTGTTTCCTTGACTTACTCACTGTTTCCCTGACAATCATTTGTTCTCCTGCGATAGGGTTGTTTCCTTGACTTACTCACTGTTTCCCTGACAATCATTTGTTCTCCTGCGATAGGGTTGTTTCCTTGACTTACTCATTGCTTCCCTGACAATCATTTGTTTTCCTGCGATAGGGTTGTTTCCTTGACTTACTCATTGTTTCTCTGACAATCATTTGTTCTTCTGCTATAGGGTTGTTTCCTTGACTTACTCATTGTTTCCCTGACAATCATTTGTTTTCCTGCGATAGGGTTGTTTCCTTGACTTACTCATTGTTTCCCTGATAATCATTTGTTCTCCTGCGATAGGGTTGTTTCCTTGACTTACTCATTGTTTCCCTGACAATCATTTGTTCTCCTGCGATAGGGTTGTTTCCTTGACTTACTCATTGTTTCCCTGACAATCATTTGTTTTCCTGCGATAGGGTTGTTTCCTTGACTTACTCACTGTTTCCCTGACAATCATTTGTTCTCCTGCGATAGGGTTGTTTCCTTGACTTACTCATTGTTTCCCTGACAATCATTTGTTTTCCTCCTGCGATAGGGTTGTTTCCTTGACTTACTCATTGTTTCCCTGACAATCATTTGTTTTCCTGCGATAGGGTTGTTTCCTTGACTTACTCATTGTTTCCCTGACAATCATTTGTTCTCCTGCGATAGGGTTGTTTCCTTGACTTACTCATTGTTTCTCTGACAATCATTTGTTCTCCTGTGATAGGGTTGTTTCCTTGACTTACTCATTGTTTCCCTGATAATCATTTGTTCTCCTGCGATAGGGTTGTTTCCTTGACTTACTCATTGTTTCTCTGACAATCATTTGTTCTCCTGTGATAGGGTTGTTTCCTTGACTTACTCATTGTTTCCCTGATAATCATTTGTTCTCCTGCGATAGGGTTGTTTCCTTGACTTACTCATTGTTTCCCTGACAATCATTTGTTCTCCTGCGATAGGGTTGTTTCCTTGACTTACTGTTTGTTTCTCTCCAGGATATCCAAGGCTGAGACTGACTGTGAGAGCTGCCAGTACCAGCCATGTGACCTTGGTAGCCTCAAGGCCAAGATTGTGGATTTCAAGAGGGAGAAGGCAGCACTGAGAGATCTCCACTACCTGACAGGTGAGATAATTTTATGAGGTCAGGGAGGCATGAATTAGTACACAGTTGAGATCCCTTTATGTGGTCAATGAGACATGAATTAGGAGTCAGGTGAGATCCCTTTATGTGGTCAACCAGACATGAATTAGAAAACAGGTGAGATCCCTTTATGTGGTTAATCAGACATGAACTAGGAGACAGGTGAGATCCCTTTGTGTGGTCAATGAGACCTGAACTAGGAGACAGGTGAGATCCCTTTATGAGGTCACTGAGACATGAATTAGAAAACAGGTGAGATCCCTTTATGTGGTCAATGAGACATGACTTAGAAAACAGGTAAGATCCCTTTATGTGGTCAATGAGACATGAACTAGGAGACAGGTGAGATCCCTTTATGTGGTCAATGAGACATGAACTAGGAGACAGGTGAGATCCCTTTATGTGGTCAATGAGACATGAATTAGAAGACAGGTGAGATCCCATTACTGAATAAATGACACATGAATTAGTAGACAGCTGAGATATCATTACTGAATCAACGAGACATGAATTCGTAGGCAGGTGAAATGTTATTACTGATATAATGATGACTTTAGGAGGTCAGTGAGATATAAATTAGTAGACAGTTGACATCACATTGCTGAATCAACGAGACATAACAGAAAACAGGTGAGATCCCTTTATGTGGTCAATCAGACATGAACTAGGAGACAGGTGAGATCCCTTTATGAGGTGAATGAGACCTGAACTAGGAGACAGGTGAGATCCCTTTATGTGGTCAATCAGACATGAATTAGGAGTCAGGTGAGATCCCTTTATGTGGTCAATGAGACATGAATTAGGAGACAAGTGAGATCCCTTTATGTGGTCAATCAGACATGAATTAGGAGTCAGGTGAGATCCCTTTATGTGGTCAATCAGACATGAATTAGAAAACAGGTGAGATCCCTTATGTGGTCAATCAGACATGAATTAGAAAACAGGTGAGATCCCTTATGTGGTCAATCAGACATGAATTAGAAAACAGGTGAGATCCCTTTATGTGGTCAATGAGACATGAATTAGAAAACAGGTGAGATCCCTTTATGTGGTCAATGAGACCTGAACTAGGAGACAGGTGAGATCCCTTTATGTGGTCAATGAGACATGAATTAGGAGACAGGTGAGATCCCTTTATGTGGTCAATGAGACATGAATTAGAAGACAGGTGAGATCCCTTTATGAGGTCAATGAGACATGAATTAAAAAACAGGTTAGATCCCTTTATGAGGTCAATCAGACATGAACTAGAAAACAGGTGAGATCCCTTTATGTGGTCAATGAGACCTGAACTAGGAGACAGGTGAGATCCCTTTATGAGGTCAATGAGACCTGAGCTAGGAGACAGGTGAGATCCCTTTATGAGGTCAATGAGACCTGAACTAGGAGACAGGTGAGATCCCTTTATGAGGTCAATGAGACCTGAACTAGGAGACAGGTGAGATCCCTTTATGAGGTCAATGAGACATGAATTAGAAAACAGGTGAGATCCCTTTATGTGGTCAATGAGACATGACTTAGAAAACAGGTAAGATCCCTTTATGAGGTCAATGAGACACGAACTAGGAGACAGGTGAGATCCCTTTATGTGGTCAATGAGACATGAATTAGAAAACAGGTGAGATCCCTTTATGTGGTCAATGAGACATGAATTAGAAGACAGGTGAGATCCCATTACTGAATTAATGACACATGAATTAGTAGACAGCTGAGATATCATTACTGAATCAACGAGACATGAATTCGTAGGCAGGTGAAATGTTATTACTGATATAATGATGACTTTAGGAGGTCAGTGAGATATAAGTTAGTAGACAGTTGACATCACATTGCTGAATCAATGAGGCATGAATTAGTAGACAGGTGACATCACATTGCTGAATCAACGAGACATAAATTAGTAGACAGGTGACATCACATTGCTGAATCAACGAGACATAAATTAGTAGACAGGTGAGATCACATTGCTGAATCAATGAGGCATGAATTAGTAGACAGGTGAGATCACATTGCTGAATCAATGAGGCATGAATTAGTAGACAGGTGACATCACATTGCTGAATCAATGAGGCATGCATTAGTAGACAGGTGAGATCACATTTAGTAGTTCTTTGAGTAATGACTTACTCAGACAGCTGAGATCACATCACTGATACATTCTTGAATGTAACATATGTAATATTTGGGATTACACTTTCTCAGTAAAGTACAGAATCTTGTAATTTTACAATCTAACCCACTCAACCACTACTGCAGCATTCGCAAAACTGCCGCCAGCACACAACCATTTATCCCACTCAGCCACCATGTCTTACATAAAACGTCTGAGAAAGGGTAATCCCAAATATGGCATATGTTACATTTGATCACTTTCTAAATGGCATTGTGATTTCATATCTTTTGGCCGTGCCAGTTTTCAATTGTCACAAAGTATGTGATCTTGACTACCAGTTGTCTGACTTCCATTTTTGTGGAAGCTGAGGTGGCTGAGTGGGTTAGATCACTGACTTTGTGTGCTGGCCTGACTCAAATCCCAGATGGGACTCAACCCCAAAACAGGAATGTAATCTGCACTTGGAATGTGTAATTCCAAACAGAACTTGAAACATCTGACAACTTTCTGAATGGCATTGATCGAGGTCAGATGCTCATGCTGTTGATCACAGGATTGTCTGGACCAGACTGGAGTATTTACAAACTGCCGCCATATAGCTGGAATAACTGTGTGGTATTAAACAAACAAATGTCCATGCTGTTGCAGCCCCCTCCACCCCCATCATTGATGTGACTAAGTGTTCCCGTAGTGAAGACGCAGTAGCACTAGTGGTGTCGTCGTCCAGGGTGTGCCAGGAGGTCATTGACAGCTATGAACTCCGCTACTGCACCGAGGAACAAAAGAGTGTAGGAATAGAGGTATGATCTTCACTCTGTGGAATTGCTACTATTGATTCATGTTCACTTAATAAGTCCTACTCAGAGATCAGGCCCCGATTTCTCGAAACAAACTTAAGTTTTTACTCAAACTTCAAACTGAGTTTTACAATTTGAAACAGCTGAATATTTAACTCAACTGCATTTTGAAAATAAAAATGCCCAAACAAGTAAAGTAATCTATCCACCAAACTCAAATTGTCTACTATGTTTGAGTTTAATATCGATTTCACTTTATTCTGGGAAATGCATTTTCCTGTGTTTTCTCATATTTGAGTAAAAACTCTTACTTAAGTCAAAAATTTAGACTTAAGTTTGTTTTGAGAAATCGGGGCCAGATTGTTGGTAGTTGTCTTAATGGCATTTGGCAGTTGCATTCATTCTGCAAACAGGTTGTTTTTGTTTTAAACAATGTCCTTATACTGACCCTTGATCAAGTCCTTGGCATGTTTGATTTATTAATGTCCTCTGTTGCAAGATGAAACACTGTGTGAGTACTGTGTTTGGCTATCTGTAGGTTCTACAGATTTCAATAGAACAAGCTCACTAAGAAGACACATGAAAAATTGCTGATTTTAATGATATGTAAAACAAGTTTGTTTTGATGAAGTAATAATATTTCAAATTTTTCATCTAAATAGATGTTAAATCAGTATTGACCATGGTGAGTCAATGTCAACTAAGACCGACATGTTAAAACTGCATGATGAATCAGGACAATGACACAAGGACATGTAACATGAGATCTAGCTCTGTGTTACTGCCTCAAGGAGGGGACAGTCATTCATTTATTGTAATGTGTGTAAGGTCAAGAATGATCATACTTTTTATGGATATACAACTTCCTTATTCTGTGAAAGGTGAATCACTTGCTTGACAACGACATTAGAATCTATGTCGAAACGTCACCTTTCACAGATTAAAGAAGTTGTATATCTGTAAAAAGTGTCATCATTTTTCATCACCCCAACTTCTAAAATGCCCACCTAGGAGGTGAGGTGAAATTGGGTTTAACGTGGTGCTTGAGAATATTTCGCTCATATGACGACGTGCATGCGTGTGTATGTATGTGCTTGTACTAGCCCAGACTTAAGCTGGTTTTATAGTGCTAACCCACTGAGATACCATGCCGCAGTGAAGCATGAATACCCCACTCAGACACATTATACTGACTCCGAGCCGACCAGTCCTTGTTGTACCCATTAATGCCGAGCGCCAGGCAGGGACCAACAAGTACCATATTTTAACGTCTTTTTGGTATGACGCGGTCGGGGATCGAACCCACGACCTTCCGCGCTCCGGGCGGACGCTCTAACCACTACACCACGGGGGCGGTCGCCCACCTAGGAAGTGTGTAAGGTCAATTTGACTTACTTGCATGATACACCCGTGAAGATCCGGGTTAGAATTGATCTTCAGCAACCCTTGCTTGTCGTGAGAGGTGACTAACGGGATCGGGTGGTCAGGCTCGCTGACTTGGTTGACATGTCATCGTATCCCAATTGTGCAGATCGATGCTCGTGCTGTTGATCACTGGCTTGTCTGGTCAAGACTCAGTTATTAACAGACTGCCGCCATATAGCAGGAATATTGCTAAGTGTGGCATAAAACTAAATTCACTCACTCACTCGCTTACTTGCACGATAAAAATGACTACTGACAGAAACTTTGTAAATTACTGGAATTGCTCATTAGTGGTAAATGTCTCCATTGTGTCTTGACTGAAGTAACAGTGCTAAAACCAACTCTCTGACTCCAAACTAAACTGGAGACATTTACTTTCTGTTGTCTGTGTGATTGTGACACAGTTCCTTCCATGTGACAGGACACAGTGACTGTGAGGAGCTGCCCCGAAGACAGGCAGATCATCAAGGGCTTGAGTCAGAGCAGCAGCTGTGAGGTCCTGCTGCTGGAGAATCTGTACCGAGCCACCACCTACTACTTCTGTCTGTCTGCTGTCAACTCAGGCGGGAAGAGTGCCAACTCTGAGGTGGTGCAGTGTCGCACTCTCAGTCAGAGCGAGAGCGTTGTCCCAGGTATGTTTGGGTGGTGCAGTGTCGCTCTCTCAGTCATAGTGAGAGTGTTGTCCCAGGTATGTTGAGGTGGTGCAGTGTCGCACTCTTAGTCAGAGTGAGAATGTTGTCCCAGGTATGTTGAGGTGGTGCAGTGGCGCACTCTCAGTCAGAGCGAGAGTGTTGTACCAGGTATGTTGAGGTGGTGCAGTGTCGCTCTCTCAGTCAGAGTGAGAGTGTTGTCCCAGGTATGTTGAGGTGGTGCAGTGTCGCACTCTCAGTCAGAGTGAGAGCGTTGTACCAGGTATGTTGAGGTGGTGCAGTGTCAAACTCTCAGTCAGAGTGAGAGTGTTGTCCCAGGTATGTTGAGGTGGTGCAGTGTCGCTCTCTCAGTCAGTCGCGATAGTGTTGTCCCAGGTATGTTGAGGTGGTGCAGTGTCGCACTCTCAGTCAGTCGCGAGAGTTGTCCCAGGTATGTTGAGGTGGTGCAGTGTCGCACTCTCAGTCAGAGCATTAGCTTTGTACCAGGTATGTTGAGGTGGTGCAGTGGCGCACTCTCAGTCAGAGCAAGAGTGTTGTCCCAGGTATGTTGAGGTGGTGCAGTGTCGCACTCTCAGTCAGAGCGTTAACGTTGTACCAGGTATGTTGAGGTGGTGGAGTGTTGCACTCTCAGTCAGAGCAAGAGTGTTGTCCCAGGTATGTTGAGGTGGTGCAGTGTCGCTCTCTCAGTCAGTCGCGATAGTGTTGTCCCAGGTATGTTGAGGTGGTGCAGTGTCGCACTCTCAGTCAGTCGCGAGAGTTGTCCCAGGTATGTTGAGGTGGTGCAGTGTCGCACTCTCAGTCAGAGCATTAGCTTTGTACCAGGTATGTTGAGGTGGTGCAGTGGCGCACTCTCAGTCAGAGCAAGAGTGTTGTCCCAGGTATGTTGAGGTGGTGCAGTGTCGCACTCTCAGTCAGAGCGTTAACGTTGTACCAGGTATGTTGAGGTGGTGGAGTGTTGCACTCTCAGTCAGAGCAAGAGTGTTGTCCCAGGTATGTTGAGGTGGTGCAGTGTCGCACTCTCAGTCAGAGCAAGAGCGTTGTCCCAGGTATGTTGAGGTGGTGCAGTGTCGCACTCTCAGTCAGAGCTTTAGCGTTGTACCAGGTATGTTGAGGTGGTGGAGTGTTGCACACTCAGTCAGAGTGAGAGTGTTGTCCCAGGTATGTTGAGGTGGTGGAGTGTTGCACTCTCAGTCAGAGCAAGAATGTTGTCCCAGGTATGTTGAGGTGGTGGAGTGTTGCACTCTCAGTCAGAGCAAGAGCGTTGTCCCAGGTATGTTGAGGTGGTGCAGTGTCGCACTCTCAGTCAGAGCGTTAGCGTGGTACCAGGTATGTTGAGGTGGTGGAGAGTTGCACACTCAGTCAGAGCGAGAGCGTTGTTCCAGGTATGTTGAGGTGGTGCAGTGTCGCACTCTCAGTCAGAGTGAGAGCGTTGTACCAGGTATGTTGAGGTGGTGCAGTGGCGCTCTCTCAGTCAGAGTGATAGCGTTGTCCCAGGTATGTTGAGGTGGTGCAGTGTCACACTCTCAGTCAGAGCGAGAGTGTTGTACCAGGTATGTTGAGGTGGTGCAGTGTCGCACTCTCAGTCAGAGCAAGAGCGTTGTCCCAGGTATGTTGAGGTGGTGCAGTGTCGCACTCTCAGTCAGAGCGAGAGCGTTGTACCAGGTATGTTGAGGTGGTGCAGTGTAGCATTCTCAGTCAGAGCGAGAGCGTTGTACCAGGTATGTTGAGGAAGAGTGCCAACTCTGAGGTGGTGCAGTGTCGCACTCTCAGTCAGAGCAAGAGTGTTGTCCCAGGTATGTTGAGGTGGTGGAGTGTTGCACTCTCAGTCAGAGCAAGAGCGTTGTCCCAGGTATGTTGAGGTGGTGCAGTGTCGCACTCTCAGTCAGGGCGTTAGCGTGGTACCAGGTATGTTGAGGTGGTGGAGAGTTGCACACTCAGTCAGAGCGAGAGCGTTGTTCCAGGTATGTTGAGGTGGTGCAGTGTCACACTCTCAGTCAGAGTGAGAGCATTGTACCAGGTATGTTGAGGTGGTGCAGTGGCGCTCTCTCAGTCAGAGTGAGAGCGTTGTCCCAGGTATGTTGAGGTGGTGCAGTGTCACACTCTCAGTCAGAGCGAGAGTGTTGTACCAGGTATGTTGAGGTGGTGCAGTGTCGCACTCTCAGTCAGAGCGAGAGCGTTGTCCCAGGTATGTTGAGGCGGTGCAGTGTCGCACTCTCAGTCAGAGCGAGAGCGTTGTACCAGGTATGTTGAGGTGGTGCAGTGTAGCATTCTCAGTCAGAGCGAGAGTGTTGTACCAGGTATGTTGAGGAAGAGTGCCAACTCTGAGGTGGTGCAGTGTCGCACTCTCAGTCAGAGCAAGAGTGTTGTACCAGGTATGTTGAGGTGGTGCAGTGTCGCACTCTCAGTCAGAGTGAGAGCGTTGTCCCAGGTATGTTGAGGTGGTGCAGTGTAGCGCTCTCAGTCAGAGCGAGAGCGTTGTACCAGGTATGTTGAGGTGGTGCAGTGTAGCGCTCTCAGTCGGAGCGAGAGGGTTGTACCAGGTATGTTGAGGTGGTGGAGTGTTGCACACTCAGTCAGAGTGAGAGCGTTGTCCCAGGTATGTTGAGGTGGTGCAGTGTTGCACTCTCAGTCAGAGCGAGAGCGTTGTACCAGGTATGTTGAGGTGGTGCAGTGTAGCGCTCTCAGTCAGAGCGAGAGCGTTGTACCAGGTATGTTGAGGAAGAGCGCCAACTCTGAGGTGGTGCAGTGTCGTACTCTCAGTCAGAGCGAGAGTGTTGTACCAGGTATGTTGAGGTGGTGCAGTGTCGCACTCTCAGTCAGAGAGAGAGTGTTGTCCCAGGTATGTTGAGGTGGTGCAGTGTCGCACTCTCAGTCAGAGTCAGTCTAGACAGTGTCAAAGGTATAGTGCAATTGTCTCAATGACAAACGGAAAGAGTGTAGTGTTTACATAGAAGACCAACATTAGTGTCTTTGTTTTATGCTATGTATCTTTAAAACTGAAGGCCAACTTTGTTAGAACTTTTAGGAACAGTCATGCTTTAAACCAGTATGTACTTCATGATTGTAACTTGTGTTTCAGTGCCGGTGATCCTGGAGACGTTGTGCCGCCGCTTCATGTCGTCAATACAGGTGTGCAGCTCCAGCCCCCTGGACGTTGCCATCGAGCAGAAGATCTCCCACTTCCTGCTGTATCGGCCATCAGACCGGGGTCATCACTGTCTCTGGAAGAGCGTGTCTTTGTATGGGCGCCAGGAACATCGTGTGTTTGGCTTAGAGCCGAACACGGAATATATGTTTGTGATTATGGCTTGTAACTCTCGTGGGGAATGTCAGCTTTCTAACAGAGTCTCACTACAGACAGAGCTGTCTGCCATTTGAGAAAGTTGTGATGACAGTGACACTACAGACAGAGCTGTCTGCCATTTGAGAAAGTTGTGATAACAGTGTCACTACAGACAGAGCTGTCTGATATTTGATGCTGTAGATGGTTGTGATAACAGTCTCACTACAGACAGAGCTGTCTGCCATTTGATGCTGTAGAAAGTTGTGATACCAGTCTCACTACAGACAGAGCTGTCTGCTATTTGATGCTGGAGAAAGTTGTGATAACAGACTCACTACAGACAGAGCTGTCTGCCATTTGATGCTGTAGAAAGTTGTGATACCAGTCTCACTACAGACAGAGCTGTCTGCTATTTGATGCTGGAGAAAGTTGTGATAACAGTCTCACTACAGACAGAGCTGTCTGATATTTGATGCTGGAGAAAGTTGTGATAACAGACTCACTACAGACACAATGTCTGCCATTTGATGCTGGAGAAGGTTGTGGCAACTCTCTCCCTACAGACAGAGCTGTCTGCCAGTTTACTGCTATAGAAGGTTGTGACAACATCCTTGCATTACACATAGCTTTATTGATACTATACAAGGGTTGACAACAGAGCTGCCCTCATCTGCATTATAAAGGAAACAGCCAAGTATTCCCTGTCTGTCATTGCATGAGGGTGTGGACTCGCTTCTGCTCAAGATACTAACGGTACTGTCCACCCACCAAATACAAGTTTCGCTCACTACACAAGTGCAATACATGCACAGGTATAAATATCTAATAACTTTGTTCATCCTGTGAGTGGATGTTTATTACTAATGTTCCAACAGTTTAACCCATGATGTAGAATGAGTACTTGTACAATATTAATACAATGTTCCAGAATTTAAGAAAGCAGATGATTCTTAGTCTGGACAATACTGTACTCAACAGTGACTGCACTAGTTAAAAAACTCACCATTACATCTTTGTGTTAGCCAAAATGTACAACCCCACTATCAGAAATATCCATGGCATGTCTGTGTTTCTCCATCAGATACATCCTAATGTTCAACATGCTTTCCTTTGAGCAGATAATGTATTTTTGTAAACAACCCATGCTCATGTATTTTGCCTCAAGTCTACACAACTCAAAGGCCTGACATGGTCAGTGTGAGAGTAGAACTAGATGGACACATATCCTATGTCTAACAGGAGTGTGCGAGTAAGCTTTTACCTGCTTTCAGCAAAATCCCAGCAATATCACAGCAGTGGACACCAGAAATTGGTTCACTCATTGTACCCTTTTGGGGAATCAAACCCTGGCCTTCTGTATGATAAGCCAACACACTAACCAATAGACTACCCCACCACCTCTCACCAGGAGGAGCCCGAGAAGGGAAGTTCTACTTACCAATGGTGCTGCACATTAACGTTGTTGTCCTCACTGCCACAGTATTATAGAGGGGGAAGACAGAACCAAGTTGTGTACCCCATTAAGTTAGTTCATGTTTTGGAAAAGTTAACTGGACCGACCAGTGAATCATTGATTACCCAATGCTATTTAGAAATTGGTCAAATGTAACATATGTTATACTAAGAAAGTGTTGTCCCAAATATAACATATGCTACAGTGAATCATTGTTTTATGGAAAGGTAATCTCTGTCAAGTTGAGATGACACATTGAGGATAGATGTATTTTTTCAACTGAACAGAAGGTAGATGTTTCAAAATAATCAACAGTGTTATTCGTTCTTAGTCAAGGTAATTTATGTTGTTTTAGTCTATTACATAATTATGCACATTATTTAAGAGATTTTGTAGAATATTTTGTTTATGAGTACATTATTTTTTTGTTGGATGGTTAGATTCCCTGCTAAACAGTCTGGCAGATGACCTTGGTCTGCCAGTGATGCCTTGCTCTAGTCAGTAGTACCTGTATATTGTTACTGTGATACATCAAATATGATGGCTTCAGACGCTTCAGCATGGAAATCCTGCATGCTTGTATTTAGTCCGTAAAAAATTGGACACAAATAATATTCTTATATACAGGTAACCATTGTTTTGTTATGAAGTATTTTACCATACAAACATCCGTCCAAATATATATTACTTCCATGTATTCTTTATAGTTGTTCCTGTTTGGACTAACAAATCATGTTGACTTTTGTTTCAATAACCATCTTTTGACCTAAGCTACTTTACAGGACACTTGGCTCCCTGTTATGCCCTGCTATACCTTGCTCAAACATATATTGAATGTATGGGTTCATTAAATAGGAGTTCTTCAATTTCCTTGAAAAGCGATTTATATGTGGTCTGAATCTGTGAGCAACAGGAATACTTTCACAGACACAAATGCACGCACATGCATGCACACACAGAATTATCATATTGTTGGCCTCTAGGCATTTTTAGATTGGAATGTTATTATTAGTTTACTAATTTGAAAATACCTTGTATGGTTTGCCTTCTGACGTTGGCCTTAGATTGACAAGAGTGGAAGATACGTGAATTACCTTGGTAACCATTACCCGGTGTTTTGTTCAATTGTTGAGTAGCAAGTCGTCCCTAGTTATACAGTATTTATTTCAAATTTCATGGACAGTGGTCAGAGTAATTTCAGAACCTTATGAACTTGCTCAGGTGTTTTAATGACCAAAGATTGCATCTTAGTTACGTTAACTTTTCTCCAACATAACTTGAAAGAAGACAATATTTTGAAAGAGACTCGAATAGGAACGAAAAGGAACTGGAATAGAATAGAAACAGACTCAGCATTCGTGACCAACTCGTGTTATTCCGGGACAAGCCGAATAGCGGTTACGGAAAGGGGCGAGTGGTGATGAATGAGAGACTCATCTCTTTCAAATGTGGACATAAACATACTGCACATATGGCAGTCTGTATGCTGCATGGGTAACACATTGCTTGTTATATTTGAATAAAAATATGTCATTATCCGGTTTGTGTTTTTGTTTCTTTGAGCCGGGGTGAAATTAGGCCTTAGAAAACTAGAGAAGCCCACCGACTCTGTAGCCAGGAGTTACACTCGAGGTTTAATTTAATAATAACAAATAATTGTTTAAATTTGTGTATACGATGTACTTCTACATATGAATTATATTATGTTAATCGTATATATACCTATTAAGTGTGACTGTACTTAAAAAAAAGGGAGCACAGGGGCTTGCCCTCATATCGCCTACACCTCATATCGCCTACAATAATTATAATGGCCAGTTCTACCACCCCTATCATAATTATGGGTATTATCCGACTGGAGATCGAGTCTGGGGAAAGGAACGACTCGAAAATTGTGAAAAATCATCATGACCACCACGACCTCTAGTGAATGTCTGTGATGTCTATTATGATGTCTAGTAATAGCGGCGATTGAAGCTGCACTCCTCAAACATTCCAAAGCAATAGGGGAAAAGCCACTAGTATTGTTCTGTAAGGCGCGAAAGAAATCTGGATGTGCTGGGAAAAATCTGTCCTTGTACTAGTAAGGCAGCATGCTCATCTTGAAGATAACACATATGAGCCTTAAGAATAGTAAACAGCGAAGCAACCTGGTCAAGACTCGGTGTTCTGCCCTCATCAAAAGAAGCTAATAGCTCTAGTGACGTCTCCACGTACCGGGCCGAACGGGCTAGCGTGTTGAAGTGGGCTTTGTTGTTAGCGCTCACACCTCGTTTAGATTCATGAGTCGAAGTTCTGGAGGTAGTCTGATCTTCTGAAGGCTGTCCCTTATAGCTTGAAACTGGCCTTGCAAGTCCTGATCAACGAAGTCACCACCAGACGACTGAGCAGATGGATGCCGGTCACTAGTAGTTGTAGTATTTGGCCTAACGTCCGTCAAGCCGCCATTAACGATTGGCACACTCCGGCGCTGAAATTGCCGGCGAGTTAAAATTCTGATCAAACCGGCGTTCCAGGTCTTCCTGACGCTGGAGAATGCTCCTCAACTGAGCTGAAATATCTTCTAAGTGAAATGTTTTGATTGTATAACATGACTTCTACAATGCTGAACTCGACCAAGGTGACGAATAGTGCAGGCGGCAGTAAGTAAATCTTGGTGTCTGTAAACGTCAGGGTTGACAAGGGGCACCGACCTGATTGATGAGACGTTATAAGGTTGGAGGGGAGACACCACTCGGACCATGTAAACAGGTCTCAAATTTATGAAGTATTGGATTAGTGAGTGGGTATCGTTTTACGCCGATTTTAGCAATATACCACCAATATCACAGCAGGGGAAAACCTTAAAACGGCTTCAGACATTGTATCCATGTGGGGAATCGATCCCTTCTTCGAAACCAAATATAGTACCGCTGGGGAGAGTGTTTTGGCAGCATTTTCTACATACTTAACTTCATTGTTATAAATTGCAAAGAAACATATCCCGTTAGCTACCTTTTCATCTACAGATGGTCTGGTGTTAAATATAATCTCAGTATCTTTGCAAAAAATTAATTGGAAGTCTGTCATTGCAAGCGTATGTTTTTAATGTCAACGTCAGTGGGGCAATAAAATCTATATAACTGGAAGTACTAACTGTAGACCTTATTCACCTCGTGCCACAGAATTCTGAATCTTGATGACAATATTGAGGTAATGATTTGATTTGAGGTGTATATTTTTTTCCCGAAACATCAAGTGAAATAATCAAATAAAGAACATTATCTATAGATTAAGCTACTGTTGTAGGACTTCCGGTTTAAGAGAGTTAGGCAGGCTTCCGGCCTATATTTCAGTACCGGAAACAATATAATCTAAACGGGGATGCGTAAGCCACAAGTAAAGATACAACCATAATACTTTCATGTGTTTTGAAGTGAAGATCTTGCGACCCGTCTTCAGAGATCATAAAACAACACGCGACATAAAAACCGAGTGTGCTCAAAACGTGTTGCCCGTTAAGGTGAAACCAGCTTAGGTGAGTATTCAGTTTTATAGATCTATCGAATTAGAGAAGTGTTTCCCGAAAGCGCATAATGCAAACGTGAAGTGTAGATTAGCTTTATCATAAACTTAGAAACAAGATTTTAATAAGAAAGTGGTTTTTTTCCGAAACAGCTAACAACCAAATACAAAAACGGGAAGTACAAAGGTAGTTTTCTTCTTTGAGTGGGTTTTTAGAAGGTGGGAAGTACATTATTGACAAACTTTATAGATAACAACTTCTTTTAATTTCTTTTACGACGTTTCGATGCAGGTTATCGTAAAAGAAGTTGTTATCCATAAAGTTTGTCAATATTGTACAAATAGTTTTGTTATACACCGACTTGGAACTATGGCAGTTCGTACTTTCAGATAGACCAAAGGTAAAACTAAACAATTGGGCATGTATCTCAACCTCGATAAAGATGTTGGAAAGGGGGTACTTGGAGCTTCATATTGCGGCTATATTGGGTTATATTGTTGTACATTATCACCTATTTCATGTAGCATGTAACTAACTGAATCTGGAACAGTGAGTGAGTAGGATGTTTCTCCGCTATTAGCAATATTCCAGCAATATAAGGGCGGGGACACCAGAAATGGGCTTCGTCCATGTGGGGAATCGAACCCGGGTCTTCAGCGTGACGTGCGAACGCCTTAAGAACTAGGCTACTCCACTGCCCCTGAATCTGGAACAGACAAGCCAGCGGTCGATATTATAAGCAACGACCCACGCCATCAGGTCACTATGACCCGCGACCAACCTCATAGTCTGATCTCCCGGTTCATTAAGTAGCCTAAAACAGTCAGTGTCGCCAATACCACCGGAGTATCATTTACCAATACGTGAATGTATTGCCCATTTTATAAATAATAGATGTTGTGACGTTGCGCTACCAAAGGCAAATTATTAAGGCTCTAAAGGGTAATTAGTGTGGTTCTGTATATATGTAACGTGATCACATAATTACTAGTATATAGCAAGGTACGTACAGGTTATTGAGGGTGGGTGTACTCGTCCAAACTTGACTGTTTAAAAAGGTGCTCGTGTTGCCCACATTAAGATATCAAGTAAGCTGTGTAATTATTGTTCTATTCATATGGCCCAGTGAGATACCATGGTGATGAGTACCACCCACTGATGATAATAATCATAATGGATATTTTTAGCGCGCCATTTTCCACCCACTGATACATGCTCAAGGCGCTACATAAAAGCATACATACAATGCATACAGAGGATAAAATAGTAAAATAAGTATACATTGAAATTGATGACAGAAAGATTGAGTTTAGGGATAGGCTTTGGAAAAAAAGAAAGTCTTTAACTTAATTTTGAAAGTTTTCAATTTGGGAGACTGCTTTTTGTGACGAGGGAGAGAATTCCACTGAGTAGGACCGGCGTACTGGAAAGACCTCTTGCCAAAGGAAGAAAGGAGAACTTTGGGAATGGAGAGAAGACACTGGTCTTGAGATCTGAGAGTTCTGGTAGGGGAGTACACAGTGAGAAGTTCAGAGAGATATGAAGGAGCTTGATTATGCAA